GGGAGGCTGAGCGTGCAGATGTGCAGTTGGCCTGCAGAAGTCAGTGCGTGTGTAAATTTGCTGGCTGCGTAACTATTTGTTCTCTAAAACCAGGTCTTTGTCAGGGCTTGAGGTCAAGATGTTTTGCAATGAAGCATCGGTAACTGCTGCATCTGAACTCAATTTTAAACACTACCAATAGAAGTTATTGTGGGCTGTGCACCAGAGAACTGGTACGGTTTATGCAAATATCTAACGTTGCAAGTGGAGCTCTGCTACTGAATGCACAAATTAGTCTTAAAATTAGCAAATTAGCCACTTAGTTTCTACTTGTATACATTCGAGCACACCCTATAGTCATTAATCAGGGAAAATCCTCATTGAAGCCACTCTTGGAGCCGCGTGGCTAGCCTTTCACCCCCAGCAGCGCTCTTGCAAAAGAGCAAAATTAGCAGATAAATGCTTCCCCTCTTCCGTCCCTGAATCTTCTGCCAGCAGAAATGTCAACACAACATGCAAAATTATTCAGAAAACACTTGTTCCTACTGCAGCTGTACGTCCTGTAGTCAGTGCCGCATCCCAGGCTCACACCTATGTATGTCCACCAGACCACTGTAGCTTGAAATCAAAATTAATTAAACCTTGTTTACCATTTTGAATTAGTGAGCTAATGAATATCATACCTCCAAGGCATCCATCTTGGTCAAATACTTGTGTCTCACAGCTGTTGTTTTTCTCTAGATTAGATTTGCTCCCGTTTTTATGAAGACGTCTACAAAGTAATAAGCCCTACACTTATCTGACTCAAAATTATAAAAAATTTTATTAGCTTCCAAGGAATTGGGTTTTCTACTTTTTACTTGGCAATAAAAGTTGATTTGTTCTATAGCTGCCTGATAGAATAGTTGGGTGCTGGCTATTACTTAAATCTAATGACTCTTCTTAAAAGACATTAAGGTTGTCTCCTGTGAGCAAACATACCGGGCTTGTGAAATTACATACTGATTACTCTGTTATAAATGTGGTCACACCTCTGCTATTAAATCGTACCTGCGTAAACAATTCCAGCAGACAGACACACGGCTCTGCAGTTATTTATACCCACTTTATTAAGGTTATTTTTTCAGCAATAGCGCTGCTTTTAAATCTGCCGGGGTTTATTTAGTACCGAGCGACACAGGAATCAGTATGTCATGTGGAAGCATCACTTTCACCCCTCGGTCTGTAGCCACCTGACTTTATTTAGTGCTGTGGATGATAACGGAGAGCAGAGGGATGCGAGGTAGCAGTCTGTCTTCCCAGATGCCTTTCAGCCGCTGCTGTTTCCAGCAGTGCACGTTTTCCCAGCTGGCTGGGAGCAAAACGGGCACCCACCTTGCTGCTGGGCACCCACCTTCCTTCTCGCCCCGCAGCATCCCGCTGTGTGCCAAGTGGAGGGGACCAAAGCGCTCTGCCCTTACGCACAGCCTGCCGGAGCGTGGCTCCATCTTTTCCAGATGAGCACCCACCTCCAGCAGGCTCAGATGAAGCTCTGCCACCAGCCCTACAAAGGGGCAGTGCCTTGGCCAGGCCTGGAGCCTGGGTCCCCCCCAGGCTGTGCGCTCGCGTTGCCTGGTGCCTGTTGCCACGCTACCGGCGAGCCCAGAGCCGTGCGTCACGCTGGTGCTGCGCCGTGGAAAACTGCCTGGATTTGGAGCAAACGGGCTGGTTTGAACAGCACAGAGGGAGCCAGAGCGAGAAGCGCAGGTGGAAATTCACTCCTGGTGCTTCCCAGACCCTGGGAGCAGGAGAGGAGGAGCGGAGCGCGGTGTCAGGGATGTGCTTAACTGTGGATGTGACCTTGCTGTGCTTCATCTTTCCCTTTGAGCTCCCCAATAAATCAGACACTTAATCTCTGCTTATTGCTTATTTATGGCTTCGTTTTGCCGGCGGTGCCAGGGATGTGCAGGTTTTGGGGAGGCTCTGCTGCCCCTTGCTGTTGCATGTAGCTCAGCTGCTGAGCACACGTGTGTCTGCGCGGCTCCGCACCATCCTGAGTATCCGCAGGAGCAGTAAATGGTAACAGAAAGGCCCTGCTGGGGACCTGCGGGCTCGGGCAGCAAATGTTACTCAGCCATCTGCTCAAACCAGTTGAACTCCTGTCCTTTCGTGCATTTTGAGCAGACTTCACGCCCTGGCAGGCAGCTGGTGCTGACAGCACGCTCCCCGCGGCCCCCGGGGCTGCACAGCGGCTGCAGGACCCGCTCCCGAGGGCGCTTTGCCCTCTGTGATCCGTGTGTCAGGCTGTGTCCTTGGCGTGGCTGCATCCAGATCCTCCAGCCCCCTGGATGTGAGCTGCCTCATCCTGCAGGGTTGGCAGAGAGCAGCGAGGTGCTGCGGCTGTGTTGGGATGCTCGTGGCGGCTGTGGGCACTCCTGCAGCCCAGTCAAACAATTAAACTGGGATGCTGTAGAAGTCCCAGAATGGTTCCTTTTTACCCAGGGCTCTAAATAGGCACGAGCACCTCCTAATGCCCCAGTGTCTCTTGGTGGAGTCACGGGCCGAATGCTGTGTGTATGAGCAGCACTTTGCTCCCCCAGCAGCCGAGCTGTGTGCTGCTGGTGTGGCCCTGTGCGAAGTGACAACCTCGGCAAGCCCAGGCTCCGGTTTTGACTTTCAGAGTGCAGTTTGTCCAGACAGGAATTAATTCCAGCAGTCCTCTGCCTGCCTCCAGTGTGGGAGAGCAGACTAGATGATTGCAGTGGTACTTTCTGGCTTTAAAATCTATGACTTTCCCGGTTCCCTTTATGCTGGATGTAAAGCTGATGAAGCGCTGCGGGATGCACGGACCTGTGGATAACTGCTGGGTGGGAGCAGATGGAGGCAGGCTCTGTGCCGCTGTCTGCGTTGCTGTAGCTCAGGGTAGGAATACACGTGTCCTCGTATTGATTTTCTGTCCCAACCGTTTCATCTGGAGTTCACAGCACTGCCTAAAATATATATCTGGAGTCTTGCATGCTTCCTAAAGAGGAGAAAATACAAATCACCCCTACGCAGCTCCCTGACTCACAGCCAGCGTAAGAGCCAGCCCTCTGTCTGTGATGAAAGACGCTCTGTGATCGTGTCACCGAGCAGGCTGGCCACGAGCCCTCCCAGCCTCAGCAGCACATCTGCTGGCACAGCTCTGCCCCCCGGTGCTGGGCTCTGCCCCCTGGTCCTGTGCCCACCGCCCCTGCCTGGCCCTGCCGCTGGCTGTGGGGCTGGTGGGAGCCACTCCTGCAGCGTTACCAGCACCAGGTCAGCCAAGGTGCTTTCCTCCCTGAATCCCTTTGGGATTTAGCACGAGCAGAGGAGCAGACAAGCTATTTGTGGTGAAGGAGCCAGGCTTGCTGGCCCTGGGCGAGCACAACGTGACCAAGCTGTGGGTCAGGCACCAAAGGACGGTGCCTGCGCTGCTGGCCAAGGGACACCAGACCCACGCCACCTCCAGCCCCAGCAGCATCCACTGGGCTCCAGCTGGGGATGGATGGGCAGGGTGGGCAGGGCACCTGCCCTGGGGTGTCCAGAGAGGCCGGAGCACCTCCAGGTTCTGGTACGAGAGCGTGAACATCTTTGCTGGGGGTGTTCTCCTTTGCCGTGGTTGGGAAGGAAACCACACGGGGCCCGCTCGGGCTGGGCGCTGAGGGGATCTCTGGTGGATGCTGCGCACTTGTGCTGGCACAGTGCTCAAATCTCCTCTTCACCTACACGCCTAGCCTCCTTTTTGGCACCATGCTTACCATAAAATCTGTTTTAAAGAGCAAAGGTGAGGTGCAGCATCAGCAGAGCGCCCATCGGGGGGCTTCCCAGGGGCTGCTCCTTGCGTGGGAGATTATCCAAGGGCTGCAGGAGCAACCCACAAAAGTGCGAGAAACCAAGCTTCCATTTAAACCCTAAAGCATCACTCTTATGATCATTATTATTTCAAACTCCCTCAGCTTTTCCTGGACTCATTTCCATCCAGAATAATGAGGGCCATATTAGCAGAAGGTGATTTAATTGCAAGAACTTTTGCGAAGCGGGGAGTCTCGTTTCCTTTAATGCAGCGCGCTAGCAATTCCCCACATGCTTATGTTCATTTTAAGAATCAATAAAGCACAAACATGTCTAATTACCCTAAAATATTTTGCAAAATCAGAAGTCAGATTAGATTTTGCTTAAGCATCAAATAGAAATTTTAATGTCCACCAGAACCGATATGTTACCCACGGGTGCTAAGATTTTCGCTTACATGCTTGATCATACATTATAATGAAGGTTTGTAATAACATTAAAATCTTCTTTACTACATTTTCTGTATAATTTACTTTTCCCCTCTCTCTGTACCATAGAGATTCGAATATAATTACTTGGAAAAAATAATGCACAGCTGCTTTTCTTGTCCTGTATTCTGAATGTACTTGCTGATGAATGTCAGCCTGAAATATTGTGACTATTTCATGAAGGGCTTACTGAAGACACCTTAGCTGTGCTGTAATTCTCCCATAACAGGGGGAGAATCGCACGCCTGGCCTGCCGTTGTGTGCAGGGACGGTGGCTGTCCCCATCCTGCCCCCTGTGCAGTCCCAGCTCTGGGTGTGGGGACAGCGCAGCCTCGGGCATGCGGTCCCCTCGCCCATGCAACCTGTGTTGTGTTCCTTTGGATGCTCTGCCTGCTCCTGCCTGACATTATTAATCAGAGAGCCATATGGCTCCGCTCAGCGCCTGTGATCCCTTTGGTGTCCCTGTATATGGCAGGTGACATAAAAATGCTAATTATTTAAATTCGATGCCCTTGTTGATAGAGGACCAGTGATTTTGGTTCAACCCTTCCTCGGGGATCTTCCTTCCAGGAGCCTCCAGCGGGCCTAGGAGCGGGCTGGGGCTGGAGAAAAGGGAGGGCTGGGGTTTTGTGTGGCAAACTGGTTCAGGTAAAGCAGAAAAGGTAGCAAACAGGAAGGGAAAGAAGATAGACTAGGAGCTTTGCACACTCAAACCTGACCCCTCCTACCCCACTGAAATAGCAGCGGTTTGGGACCAGGATGGAGATGGGGATCCAGCGAGCCCAGCACAGCCTGGCAGCGGTGCCTCGGGCTGGATCCAGGCCTGCAAGCACAAAAGCTTCTCTAACACAAGGTGGAAAACGTTGGCAAGTGGTTTCCTCCGTCCTGGTGCAAGGAGCCATCCCTGCCTGCTCTTCTCCCCACAGGCAGCCGTCCCTGCTGTTGGGTTTGAAGCTTCTTAAGCATCACGGAGAGCAGACTCACGAGCTGTTTTTTTCCAAACAGTGCAAATGAGCCATGAACACCGCTAATCCTGAGGTCGTTTTTATCCTGCACACAAATAATGAGAAGCTGAAGAAGTCACCAAATGGCTCCATGGACACTTGCTTCCAGCCAAGACTGGAATCTGCTGCAGTCCCAGAATTTATGGGGTAGCTCAGTTCACCACTAAAATTTTTATGAGTCGGTATCTTCTGGAAAAGTAATGGGGAAACGAAGCCCAAGAGGCCCAGAGCCTCGTCCTGCTGCAGCCAGAGGAGCTGGGACCTGCAGGGACGTGGCTGAGGAGTGGCCAGCAGGGACAGAAAACAGGAAAGTGCCTCCTGATGGATGCAACCAGCACAGACTTGTGTTTCAGGGTGCTTCGTTAATGCTGCCGAGTTACCTGAGTGTGAGTCAAATTTGTCACGCTGCTATTAGTCTTGGGGAGCAGAAGGTTGTGATTCACGTCTCCTGGATTTTTCCTCTGAATAAGATTAGTGCAGCCCAATTATCACCTAATGAGTTGTAAGCAGCTCTTCCAGCCTGATGCACAAGCCCATCAACTTTCAGGGCTAAAGCTGCAGCCACGAGTGTTTTCTGTCATCACCCTCAGCATCATTCCCAGAAGGAAAATAGAAGCAGTCACGTCCAGGGAGCCTTTGCCTCGCTGTCCTTAGGACTCACCCAGCCCTGAGATAACTGGCTGGCGAGATAACCAAATGTTGTGCTGGGTTTCTGTAAGGCGCGGGTGACCCTCATTTCCACATGTCTCCATCCCCTTAATTGCTTCGTTCTCCTCCAACCTCTGAGCTTGTTAAGCCCAGTGGTTTTGCTCTGCACATCACAAGCTGTTCCTGTGCTTGAAAAGATTCAGTTAAATGCCTTTTGCTGCTTTTGTATTGGAAATTTATGCAAAATTTATAAACAAAAAAGTCCTGAACAGAAATCTCACTTTTTTTTTTTCTTCTTCTAAAAATATTCAGAGCAGGACTTGTGGAACATCAGGAATAATGACTCAATCCAGCTAAATTTTCAACAGTAAGGAGAAAAAAAGAACCTCTTGAGAACGGCACGTTGAGAAATGACTACATTACATATAAAAAAGAAAAAGAGTGTGTAAAACTTCCTAACTTATTAAATTTCCTGCCACGGGCCTATTAAATGGGGTGGAAGGGAGCCGCAGAGCCCTCCTCCTCCTCCTGCTGCCCAGCCCCACAGTGGGGATGTGATGGGGACTGCGTGTCCCTGCCACGGGGCCTCGTTCTGCACCCATCACAGATCAGAGCCCGAGGGGAGAAGTGCAGGAAGGGAAACTTGGAGGAAAAGTCCCCTTTGGTGCAGGGCCAGTGCCCGGAGCGCCGAGCCACGCAGCAACCGGCCGGGGGAGCGAGGTTTGTCTGCTCGGCCGCTGAGTGCTGGGCTTGGCACCTCGAGCTGTGCATCTTGTGCTCACTCCCTGCTCAGGGCTTCTTGGTGCAGGCTCAGGTAAAGCAGAGGATGCCTGTGCATTGCTCAGAGCACCCCACGTCCATCACACCAAAGAAAAGCGCAGCTAGCTGTCATTTCCAAGGAAAGGAAAGCCTGGAGAATTGGTGCACTAGGAACACTTAATTCTGGATTCATTTTCTTTTCTTTATTTTTTTTTTTTGCTTTAAATTTTTGTTGGCATTTACAACCTTGGCCAAGATCAGGGCCTATTTCTGAGCCTGCCCATCGCTGAAGATCCCCTGCTCCATCCCGGTGTGCGTGGTGCAGAAGCATCACTCCTGGTGAGGGCACCAGGAGAGGATGCAGCCGCAGCTGGAGGAGCAGCCGTGCCGGGGGCTGAATGCCAACACACCTGGGAACCACGTCTGGACACCGAGTGTGCCAGGAGCAGCACCGTGGGGCCAGGCCAGGAGCTTCCCTGCACGGAGCAGGCTTCGCCCTGCTCTGTTTGCTATTCTCCTGCAAAACAGGCTGCCTTGTCAATATTCCCAGCAGGTGCCACGCGCAGGATACGGCAGGTTATTTATAGCCAGTTCATTTTCATTTTCCTCCTAGCAGGGATGAGATCCTACACAAAGATTTGGCTCCTCGGGGAATCTGTCTCATTTCCACCCCAGGAGAGCTCGGCGCCTTACGGAGACGTGAGCTGGCAGCGGCCCGGGGCTCACGGCCCACTGAGGGTTTGTGCTGCTGCTGTTCCTGCCGCTCCTGCAGCTCCTCTCCAGTTCCCACCACTGCACACACCACGCTCCAGTGCCACCCGATGTGTCGTGGTGGCACCACTCGTGTCCCTGTAGCCGCTCGCTGCAGCACAGCACCCGGCGAGCATCCCACACGCTCTCCCAGAAAGGTGCTCCGTGAGGATTTGGGGTTTCTTCACCTTTTAGTGGCTGGCATGAGGCCACCCGGGCTATTCACTGAGCATCTCTGGCCACCTCTCCTGGCCAAGGGCTGCTGCAGCCGGCAGTGATGCCTGAAGGAAAAGGGACCCGACTTTCTGCTGCCCGACCGCAGCGGTGGCACCAGTGTGCCCGCACTGGAGGGGTGCCCAGCGCCCCCAGCACCTCCACCAGTGGTTCCTCTGTTAATTGAGTACATTATTTACCGACAATATGGCAGTAATGGCTTATTAATTATATGTAATGTCTCAATGGCAAATTATTTTATAGCCTGTAACATGGGGGAGATGTTCTTCAACCATTTTAGAGGCCTGATTCCAGTTTTTATCCCAAGGCCCATTTAGGTTGTAAAGGGCTGATGCTAAAAACAGGCAAAGCATGCAAAAATGGGAGCAGGATTGCAGAAAAGCCGGTTAAATCCTTCATAAGTAAAAGACTGACTGCAAAATCAAATGTCAGCAATCAATTAGATGTTCTTGGAAAACCTGGGCCCTCGCAGTGACACGGAGGGGACGCCCAGCAGTCCCTGTCTGCCCTCCCCAAAACCTCCTCGACCACAAGGGCTGGGCCCGATCCTGCAAAGCCCCTGGGCAGGATCAAGCCCCAGCTTCATGGACCAGCCTGGCCCCAGCTCCAAGTTTGCTGGGCGAAGTTTTTTTTTTGCGTGGAGCCCCTCAAATATCAGAGATCTCAGCCCTCAGCCTGAGCGCTGCCCTGAACGGCTCCGCCTGTAGCACAGCAGGGGGTTCAGGGGCTGAGGGACTTTTCCCTTTACGGTAAAGCATTGCCTGGGACCAGATTTTTAAACTTCAGCAGATGCAGACAGGCACCTAATGGAGTTTTCAGAAGTCCCTGACTCTCATTGATTTCGTGCCTATCTGCACCTTTCAGGGCTTAAACATTTCGGAATCTGGCTTCAGGATCTCTGTTGCAGCATATTTTGCCAGGGCTTTTATTCAAGTTGTTGGGCCAAATCCTCAGATAACATAAATCACTGACACAAGTGGAACTATGCTGATTTGCACCAGTCATGGACTTTAAATTAAAATTTAATTGAAAACTTAAACTGCCATTAATTTTCAATGAATGGCTTTTGCAAGAATGCAGCCAGATCTCCCCCGGTTCGGTCTCCTGTGCGGCGGGCTCTAACAAAGGGATAGAGGGATGCTTATTACAACAACCATGTCTGGTGTACTCTGATCCCCTGTCTTTACCTTTCCCTTCAGTAACTGGCTGCTGGCACATTCTGTGTGATCCTTTATATCGGGAGATCAGTTATTTCCATGCAAATCTCATTAGTTATCTTCATCCTCTCCTACAGTGTAATTGACTTTCTGGGACCTTGGCTGTATCATGACTTCCCCAGCTGGCTTTCTATTATGTTGCATCTTCTATTAAATGTTGCCCTAGAAATGAAGGCAAAAAGCTATAATTTACAAGATATGCGGTGTGTGTGCGTGCATGTGCCTGGATGAAGACACACACACACGAATATGTTTGTATATACCAGCGTATTTATTTTGATCCTTTAATGAATTGCTGTTGACCTTGGGCAAGGACTTCTCACTGCTTGTAGCAGGTAAATATTTTGCTTGGATTTCTGTTGGAAGTAGCTTGCAATTCTGAAGAATTCCCGAGTACAAGTAACACAACGTCTGCACCTGCTTGCCAGGCTGACTCACTGTACAAATTGGGTTGTGTCTGGAACTCGTAGTACGGTACGGGATACTTTTATTCTATAGGCATATGATTTCCTGACTTTTTAAACTGAAGCAGAATTACATAATACAAAACCCCCACACACTAAACAATAGCAGAATACTGAGTGTCGCTATTAATTGGTTTTGATTTAAAGCAGCTGCCAAAGGAGAAGCAAGAGTCAATAAACTGAGTGTCAGCAGCAACACCTGGTGATGGTCCATGGAGAGCCTTGGGGGTCATCAGCCTGCAGCAGCTCTGCTGAGATCTACGCTGGTTTGGACTGCAAAAAAAGTAAGTTTTGGGATCAAAAGTATTCAAAGAAAGATTTATGTTGAATCCATACCTGTACTGAAAGTATGATAAGACTTCTTTGTGGTTCTAAGGTCTTCTAAAGTTGTTGCATCTGTGTCTATGCATGCTTTGCGTTTCTGTGCTGAGAGCATACTTGTGAGGCAGTTTGTTAGCAGGAGCATTAATGGTAACAGGGATTATTTTTGTGAGGACAATTTGCAAGTGATTACGCAGGTGGCTGTCTTCACTGAGTCTCAAGGAATTACTCCTCTAGGTAAAGTTTACCTAGGCAAGTGAGAAAATACACTCCTAGGGAGCAGGATCATCCAAAAGGGAAGAGGAACGTGCCGTGCAATGGAAGCGTTTCCTGTTTAAAACACGGAGATTGAGCAGCTGAGCAAGTGTACGTAAATTACAGAAGAGAATTACGAACTGAAATAATTTAAAAACCAAAGTCGTTGCTGGAGGAAAGCTCTGGTTGTTAGCAGGCAGCCTCCGAAGAGAAAGCTTCAGGGCTCAAACTGCTCGCTGCCGTCCTGCCAGCAGCGTCCCCGTGCCCTGGTGCCTGCCTCTCGCTGCCCCTCTGCAGCGCAGCTCTCTGGAGCATAAAGGCACACGGAGCGCGGGATGATTGATGTAACAAATGATCTAATTTCCCGATCGGTTAATCCCAAATTAAAATCCTTGTGGTAAAATTTAGGCCTTTGCATAGCATGAAGCCGTGCTCTAAAGAGGAGCCCTTCATTATAATGAACTGACTCCCATTAGCAGGGGCAGTCAGCACACAGCACCCCTCATTAAGCACTACCACTGCTCCTGCAAATGAAGAAAAATGCTTTAGCCGGCGTGTAACCGGACAGGGGAGGGGAAGCACAGCAAGGGCAGCAAAGCTGGGATGATTTCAGAGCGGTGCGGTTCAGCGCAGCGGCACCCAGCAACCGCGCTGATGAGGCTTTAAAATAACACAGATAAATCCGAGCTGAAATTTTCCTAGGCAGGAAGGATTTCTCACCCTCAAAGTCTGTGCAGGACTAAGTTGGTGTGAGCATCTCACAAACTGTTTTAAACAGGTTTCCTTTGGGCTCGTTGTCATGCTCTGCCAATATTAGGGTCAGCACTTTGAAGCCAGGCAGCAGTGGGGTTTGCTGGCCTTTTGGGTTCCTTTCAGGCTGCTCTGCTTCTTCCCAGCTTCAGCATCGTTTCCAGAGGAGCTGCAGGGATCGTCCCCACCACCAAGTGCGTGAGGCTTCAGCCCCTGCACCCAGCAAATGCTCAAGCACAGGAATTATTTCTGTCTTCCAGCACAAGCTGGCTTGTCCGTGCAATCTGTTCTCTGCTGGTACCCACTCCAGGAGACAGCTTTAGGATCTTCATCATCAGAGACAAACTGTGCCGAAGTATAGCTGAGAGAGATAAAATGCAGTTGTCTCTCTCTTTGATCATCTTAAAGGGACTGAACTCTGTTTATAAACTGCCACTCACTTCTCTGTGCTGCTTGAAAAATCCTGATAAAATGCCTGGAGGTGCTACCAGAGAGATGATGAATGCAGGAAGCCAGAGGTTTGACTGCTTTTAATGCAGGGGATGAATTAGGACCCGGTGAATTAATGCCTATTTCTGGGGGTAAAAAATAAATAAATAGAAAAGTAGAGAATGAGGAAGTATCTTTGTGCTCAACAGCATGTTAGGAGTGTTAGTTGCCTGTGTTTCAGCACGGCCTGGGTGCTCTGTCCAGGCTGCCTGGCCCAAGTGAAGGCTTGTCCTTGCTCCAGGCTCCTGTCATGTCTCTGCAGCCCCTGGCTGTGTGGGACATCCCGTCCAGCCCTGCTCTGCTCCTGCCTGGCAAAATGTGGCATCGAGGGGACTGGTCCCAGCTCACGGGTCCTCCTGCCCTTCGTCACAGAGCCTGGAAGCCCTCTGTGCTGCAGCACTCAGGCTTGTTCTTCCTCTTTTAGATTCACCGAGGCGTTTCAGCTGTATTTCTAGCGATTTGACTGTCAGTTTTAATAAACAGATGAAACAAACAGGCATGTGCCAGCCACCCTTAGAGCCTCTCACTTGCTCACACAGTTGGCAGATTTAAATACTGGGTGATGAATTCAAGTAAAGCCTTTCTGCTGATTTGTTAATCACAGTTGTTCCTGAAGTAGCGGGGCTGGAGCAGCAGGGCAATGAGAGGGCTCCGGCAGGCTCCTCGGCCTCGTTAGCTGCAATCAATAAAGCAAATCACCCCTGGGGATGGATCTCTGTTCCCCGGGCAGACCAGGGCTGGCTGTGCTGGTACTCGTGGCAGGAGGAGCAGGGAGCCCCTGGGGCTGGGGCTGGGGAGGGAGAAGGGGTCTGGGGTCACAGCCAGGGTGCCAGGACTGCATGGGAACTGCTCAGGGACTTAAGGGCTGAGGCCTGTCCGGCTCATTCTGCATAACCTTGGGCAGTTAAAAGGCAGAAAATACACATCCTGTAAGCTCATGGTGAATATTTGAGGACTGGGAGAACAGCACGTCTGCTCACCCAGCGGTGGCTGTGCCTCTTCCTCGTAAGACTAGCGGCTCGTTTGCTTCTGGAACAAAACAAGCCTCAAATTTCTTATTTGTCCTCTGCAATAAATTCGTAAATTGTAGTTCAGAATTTCTTTTGAATAATTTATAGAAAGCGTAAAGCTCATTATGCAGAAATCCCCTGTGTGTTAGGAAGCCGCGTGCGGAGCAGAGGCTGAGGTGCGGCAGCGGTCACCGAGGCTCTCCCGGAGCCCGAGTGAACCTTGTGGGGTGCTACAAGGGTGGCCTTGTAGCCCAGGGCATGTTTCTCTCCTGATGTGTGAGTAAGAAAGCCAAAAGTTCCTGGAATTCCTTCAGTTGGCCTGAATACCTCACGTAATAAAATAAACGACCAGAGCCACAGATACACAAGCCGCTGTTCTCCTGCAGCACGGCGGCTGCGGCAACTTTTGGGTGCCACATGTAGCCAGCTTAGGACACCCCCCGAGCTGGAGGGCAGCTTCCCCTTCAGACCCCTGATTTTGGCAATCCTCAGCACAAACGTGAGCAAACCCCAATCCAAAGGCTTCCAGTGCGAGGTCTGTTCTGTGTTCCCCAGCGCCTCCACACGCTCGTTTCTCACTGCAGCTCGTTTGGTGTGGATGGATCGTGCCGGGAAGTCAAGGGCAGGTCAATGGGCCCCCTGCCTCCCGAGCGTGCCCATCACCTGCCTGCCCAGCGGTCGTTAGCAAGGAGATCGTTACTGCCCTCTCCTCAGGCTTCCAATTCCTACCCAAACCGTCCAGTTATATTTAAATTGCTTTAAAGCCATTAGAGATAATCAATTGGCAATAAAGATCCGCAGTTCTCAGCAATCAATGTGCTTGTCTGTCTGCAAAGTTTTCCCGTGCTGAGGAAGTTTCTCTGTGTCCCTGTGCGGGGTGGTGGCTCTCATTGTCATTGTCACCAGGACCCGAGTCCCTGGTGAGAGGCTCTCTGCCCACTAGGTGGAGAAAACAGGTCTATGAATCCCTGAGAGAGGAAAAAGAGGGGGAGAACTGGTTTACACATCCAGCAGGTAGGGATATGAGGGAAAAAAAAATCAAATTGATCAAAAAATTAAATATTCATAGGACATTATTCATTAAGATTCATCTTGCCAAGTGGGTGAAATGAGGCAAGGGAAGAAATTAGCTTGCTTGAGAGTGTCAAAGTGATTATGTGATTAAATTGCAATTTATAATTTCTCCTTCAAAAATGTTACTCCTTGATTTGTGTTTCTGCCCCCTCTCCATTTTTCTTGAAGTCTCCCTTTATGCGTGTGTGATCAGTAAATGTGAAGGGCTTGTCCGAAATGAAAGCACTCCACCATTGCTGCACATACAGGCGTGTGTGGGGCCAGCAGCCCCCATTCAGGTGCCCACTTGCCATGGGATTTGTTCTCCGTGAACCTGCAGTGGGGTCCTGCAGTGGGATCCTGCAGCCGGTCCCACCACCTCCTGTGCCCCTGGGGTCGCTCCTTGGTTTTTGTGCTCACCTCTGCAGCTGCAGAAGAGAAGCGAGCCCCCAGCCCCTCGTCCTGCTCCATAGCAGAGCAAGGCTGGGTGCACAAGGAGATGTGGTGCAAGGATTTGGTTTTGGTGCCGGGGGGCTGCAGCTCCTTCCATGCATGCAGAGCTCACCCCTTCGGCACGTGCCTGCCCGTGGCGGGCAGCCAGAGCAGGAGAGAAACCTGCACTTCGTTCTCATCCAGACAGTTCAGCTGCTGCTTGTTGTTGTTGCTCCTAATCTAGAAAGGGAAGCAATTTCTTTTTTTGCTGCCCAATAAAGATTTAGTGGCGTACGCTGGTGGTTTGGAGGAAAAACAAACAAACAAAACCGTATTAATTCCTGGCTTGTTTATGAACAGCGCAAGGCGTTCATAGGTTAATTAGTTCAGGCAGGCTTTTCTTCAAGTGAATGAGCAGGCATGGTTTTACAGCTCTGTCACCCCGTTTATTTGTTCACTTTCTGTTTTATTTGGAAATACACTTCTACAACAATAAATAAAATCAGCCGTGACAAGGCTTATGTGTGCACAAACATCCCGGCCCTGCCAAGGTGGTAACCTGCAGAGCCCTCGCCGGGGCAGCGTCTGGGTGTAATGGGGCAGGGGACAGGGGATGGACAGGACCAGCAGTAGGGCAGCAGGGTCAGAAGGGGGTCTCCTGCACGGGGAAACCCCAAAATGCAGAGGCTGGTGGTGAGAAACTCTCCTCTCTGAGCCTCCTGCATGGGCTCCGCTGCTGGCAGCTCGTCTGTGCTCACAGCTCCCCTGCTCTGATTGACCTGTCAGTGGCTGCTCTGCTCCAAAAAAGGAGTGAACCTTGGCTATTGTGCCACGCATCCAGCTCGTGATGGAACTAAACACTATAGTTTACTGTTTGTGGGGCAAATATTGGGATGAGAGCAGGAGCATGGAGCCAGAGAAGCTGCGGTGAGCAGAGCAGGGGGGAATGCACTGAGCTTCTAGGAGGGGCTGACCCCTGCAGGTGCTGTAGGGCTCCCAGCAGCTGCTTTTCCAAAAGAAAACAAGAAGGAAAGGGGTATGAAATATCAGAAATATTTCTGAGGGGCAGCTCGCTGCTGGCAGGAGTGCCTCTGGCTCACGGGCCTGGCCGTTTCACTGCCCCTTATTAATAGCATTGCTCTTGTAATTGCTGTTGCTTTAATCATTACCCTGAGTCCCAAGAGCCTCCCACATTTATTTCCAAGCCATCGAACTGCCAAACCCTGACAGAGGAATGCGTTTTTCTGAAGGAGTCCGTGCCCTAGTACAACAACACGTGGCACTGACCTTTTGCAATCGCAGTCATAAGAAAAACTATTAACTGCTAACCTAAAGGCTGTGTTCTCGGACTGGGAGGGTGACAGAGCTCTGCCTGGACCAACGCAGCATGAAAACACAGGCTGGTGCCCTGCAGCCAGGATACGGGCACGATCAGTGAGCAGGGACCTGGAAAGGAGGAGGAAATCCAGCGGTGCTGGGGGGGCTGGCATCGCTTTTAGAAGCACAGTCGCAGAGGTGGCAGTGTCTTCTGCTGGGTTTCCCCTTCTCTTATTTTCTGTTTTTTTTTTGTTGTTTTTTTTTTTTTTTTTTTTTTTGCTGGGTTTCCCCTTCTCTTATTTTCTCTGATGCACACAGACAGCTGCAGTATGAGGAAGGTGGCTGAGGAACAGCTTGGGCTGGGAGCACCAGGGATCAATGCCCTGTGTCATTTTGGGGACGGTGTATAGCTCCTGTATCCCTTACAGCCCCTTCTCTTACCCCTGTGATGGTGGAGGAAAAAAGTCCCTTCTGCCTGCCAGAAACCTGAGGCCAGACACGGTTCTGACCATGGTGGGGCTGGGAGGCTCCCTGGTGCCGACACGCAGCAACAGCATCCACAGCTGGAAGCGGAGGCACAGCAGAAAGAGGTGACAGGAGAGAGGGAGAGGAATGAGCCTGATGTATCGCTGGGCAAAAGCAGAACGCTCCCCGAGTCCCCAGCACAGGAGCCTAATGAGACCATCTAATAAAGCGTAGGTTCGGGCTGACAAAGTTAGAAGCAGAACAGTGGGAACAGAGCTCAAGGAAAACTCAGCCCGATTAAGCTGCTCTAAATCAGTTTACTTGGTTGTTTCTGCTCCACTTGCAAGACATTGTTATAATTACTTGGCATTGGCAAGCCATTACTCAAAGGTTCTAGGCCAGGGTAGCAGAAGACATGATTGTCTCATAAACCTAATGAGCCATATTGATTACCAGGGGATAAGGACCGAGCTATAAACAGCCCATATTCTTTATTTGTCTAGTTGTTAGATCTGTATTTGCAGCCTGGACCTGACAGTGAGTTATGCAGGGATGTGTGCCGTTACATTGCTTCTCAAATAATGCGAAGTTTAGCATGTGCACTGCCTTCTGCAACCAAAATCGATAATGGACGGAGAGTGAATTTAGACCCGGCTTTGATTGCTGTCTCCATTTAAGAAAATGCTGGTGGAAAGCACAGCCCAGTGCATTCACGAGCTATTGTTGGTGGCAGTTTAGGAGTTATAACGCTCATAAAGTAATCTTCAAAATGAAGGTCCATTACCAGTTTATAGGAAGGCAGCTCTGCCTGCCTCTGCCCATTAGGGGAGGAACTATTTGTGGTGTGAGCGAGTGCCACGTCCCTGCTTGGAAATTCGATGTCTGCTTTCGGGACCAAAATAAATCAGGAGAAAACTGGAATTGGTTCAGTTATTGAGATCGGCTAGATCTGTCTGAAGAGCACACGCCACAGTTGCACAGAGCAGCTTTGGCACCAAACCAGTCGCTTTGTTTCGTGCTCCCGGGCAGCTGCCTGGGCTGGGGCCTTCCAGTGCTCCCAGTGGGACAGCCCCAGTGCTCGGCAGGGCTCCGTGCCCCCAGCTGGCCCTGCCTGGCACCCTCTGGGCATCAGCCTCCGCTCCTCCATCACGCAGAGCTATTCTGGCATGGGCAGCCTGCTGCCCCGTGCTGCCAATGATCCCACACGGACACAGAGCAATGAGAAATGGGTTTTCCAAGCACAGGCAGGCGGCGCACCCGTGTGTGTGATGTGCAGATCAGCCCCGTCCCTGCTGCCCCTCCGCCGGCCTCTCGAGTGTTTTGCTGCCCATTTGGGGCTGGGGGGGCTTTTCCCCTTGCCCCCTGGCACTGCGTGACACCTCTTGGCCCCTGACGTGGTGCTGGTGCCATTCCCTGTGACAAAGAAGGGAGAGAAATGGGATTTCTCCAGCTTCCAGGGACACTGCAGTTGTGTTTTACAGATAACAAGCAGTCAGCAGTGTTGCTTCTTGCAGGCAGGTTAATCCCCTAAACTTGAAATGTGTTTAATCTGGAAGTAGGTCTATTTGATCATACAAGGAGGGGAAAAAAATAGGAGCCCCGTGCAAATAGGAAATTATGCAAATCACTTATATACTAGACTGATAAAGTTTGTGGTTACTATTTCAAATCACGTTTCCTGAATGCAAATTCTCAAGTAATCCGCTAAATGTGAGCAAGCCTGACTTGCATGACAATACCAGGCCAGCCCCCTCACCGCCTCGTGCTGTGGGGCTGAACCTTGGCTCCCTGCAGAAGCATCAGGACATTTATCCAAACGGTCTCCGTGCCCCTTCCCAGCCTCCTTTCTTCTTGCTGAGCAAATTTTCATCAGAGAGATCATGAAGCCAAGCCTGGAGGGTAACTTTTATCCAACAAATAGAAAGGGTGAAGTCATCAAGACAGCAGCTTTCCATTTGTATTTCTCCCTTTCCCCGTCCTGGATCACAGGCGGATGGAGAGAACGCCCTCTGGCTCCCATTATTATATTTTATTATAATATACACACATTTGGGGTATTTTCCTTACCTGTCCTCCTCCTCCTCGCTGTGTCTGGGAGGGGGTGAGGTGGCGTGCTGTGTCACACAGACCACGGGCTGCCTTGGCAATGCCCTGAGATTTACCTGCGTGGACTTTATGGGAATTTGACCTCTGAGCTCCCTTCTGCATTGGTGTTTTTTCAGGAAGATCTTTTAGGTGGCTGCCGGCATAATTACGCATGCATGCTGGCAAGCCCTGGGACTTTCAGCACTGAATTAGCAAGGACTCGAGCAGGCTGGCCTGGAATTAATAGGGGTGGCCACACAAGTGTCCTCTCATTATCAAACTGAATGAGTCATTTTTTCAATGAACTATTATATGTTCTAGAGAAAGGGTTTCCTGTGGGTAATAAAAACTCAGCTGCATTTTCTCAGCAGATGTAATAAAATGAGAACTTGACCAAGTTCTGGAGCAGCGTCCAGGCTGCCATCCATCACTTGCGAAGAGATTCGAGCTCCTGGTGCGTGGCAGGATTTGATGCTGCAGTTTGCTTCCCCACGACCCAGTGATTTCCTGAACCACGTGAAAAGGTTTGAGAGCCTGACTCCCTCTCACTGATTTAATGCGATTGTGACTTTGCTGAAGTGCAGGGTAATTTATGCTTTCTGGGAAAGGAATAGTCACTCACTGAGAGTTTTAAACCTTATAGCTACCAGATTGAAACAGTCACCCCTTATCTTTCCCAGGTACTTCTCATGAGTACCTGTAATGCATTAGCCCGTCCCCTGTGGTGTCCATATTTTAACAAGGACTTGCCCTTACACTCCATCTCCTGCCCAGGCATCTTGTACAGCCATCCTGCTGCACCTCTGCTTCTCTGCCTGAGAAATGGAAGTAATCCTAGCCAGTCCCCATATTAATTTTTTAATATCTAAAACAGTAGATTAAGAAATATTCTTTAGTGCTTGACCCTGCTGCTTCCTTCTGCATCTGAGTTACTGAACTGTGTTAGGGAGAAAACACCAGCCTTGGGTTTTACTGCTACTCAGGCTTTGTTTGGGTTTGTTTGTGTTCAGGAATGTTTTTTCCCCCCCCCCTCATCACCGTTGTGAAAATAGCAAATGCCTGAGAGAGGGAAAACTGAATGTGTTCCTGGTGGCTACGTGCCCTGTTGTTTATCTTGCATTTTGGTCTTTGTGGAACGTGCACGTGAAATTTTCCTCAATTTCCCTCCCAGCAATGCCTGACAGCTCTGTGCACTGTTTGTGCCGTGCTGTGCTACGCTCGCTGGGTCTCATTTCTGACCTGGAGGTGGCTGCCGACGTGCTGCTCGGCGGCACAGCCCTGGGCTGGGAGAGCTGCTGCTGCCAGGGAGCAGGGATGGGTGCGCCAAGGGCGAGGCTGTAACATCTGCATGCCCGGCGTCAGCAGCAGGTTGCAGCCCTGTGACATTTCCTGCCCCGCGCAGCTTGTGCTGGGTGGTGTCCGTGCTTATTGAGGTGCCCGGCTCTGAGGCTCGGTTGGCAGAGGGACAGAGGGTGCAGGTTCTGTGCAGCTCAGGGTGGTGATGTGTCCTCTGCAGGGACAGTTTGCTCCTCAGCACACCGCCCCCAGCACCGGCTGCCACAAAGCAGGCAGTTCTCAAGCACAAACTGCTGCACCGAGCTCTCCGGTACGGTGCGTTTCCACCTGAGATCATCTCCGGGGGAAGCAGCCTCTCCAGTTAATGGATCAGAGGTTTGATGAGAGCACAGCCAACGTGTGTGGATCAGAACACGAGGCCGTGGTGTTAAAAAGCATCCGTCCTCTGCTGCGCATCCCTCACGCTGTGGCTTCCTCGCGGTGCTGGGGAGGGCTCGTGGTGGGGTCATGGGGCTGGGCTCCCGGCTCCACTGCCCCTCAGCCTGGTCCCACACGCACTGCTGAGCCCCAACCAGGATTGCCCGTGGTCTGCCGGGGTGTCCTGGTGATGCACAGAGTTGGGATAGCAGTGGTGTGCAGCTGCCTGGGCTGGGGGCTGCGCTCCGAGGTCGGACAAGGAGCAGGCTGTCTGTATTGGCAATTTGAGAACAAACTGCACTTGGACTCCTTCCCAGCCAGAGCAGAGCATGTGAATGTCAAAGGTTCCTGAAAGCCAATAACCAGGGAAGCGTGTGCTCTCGGCCCTCCCTGCAGGCTGGGGGAGGAGAGGCAGAAATGTCAGATGAGCAGCTCTGATCTCCCTTCCCACACTCACCCAGCGCTAATCCCTAATTGCCTCTCACCCCGCGTGAGCCCACGCTGCAGGACTGCCAGGCTGGGACAGCTTGTGCTGGCAGAGGTCTCGGTTTAAAAAAAAAAAAAAAGGAAAAAATAAAATCCTGTGAAAATTCACTTCGTGTTTTCTGCCTTGCTGAAGGGCTGAGAGCTGGGGGGGGTCAGTCCCTGCCTTCCACCAGTGGAGTGGTGCTGGAGGTGCCCGAGCTGTGCGCGGTGCTGGGTGCAGGGATGCTGAGCATGGTGCGTGGTGCTGGCCGGGCAGGGCTGGGGGATGAGGGGTCTTGAGGAGCCCCCACCTCACTGCCAGCCCCCGTGGGCCAGCTCCTGAGTGGTGTAATGTGGAGGGGGGGGGTGTGGTCAGAGGGTTCGGGGGCAGCAGGGCCTCCAGAAATCGCACTTCTCAGCAGCCCCCGGTCTCTGAGAGCTGTGGTTTAATCGTGTATGAAATCCCACTGATCTCGTAGCTGCCTTCCATAAGTTATTTATAAGTGGAGTCCTAACACAGGCTGGGGCTGCTGTTATTCCTCCTGACTGGCCTCGTTGCCTGTGGCCTTTAAAACGCTCCTTTCCCACCCTCCTCCTCCTCTTTTTTCATTCCTCCTTCGCAGCTCAGATGTAATCAGAGCCCCTGCAGCAGCAGGACCCGTGCTCTCGGTGACTTTTGCTCCTCTGCCGGAGCTGTACCAGCACTGCCTGGCGTCTGTCGTGTTCCTTGGAAAACCAGGGGGCTGTGAGGCTGCTGGGATGAGCGATGTGCTGGGGGTGAAGGAGGGGAGGTAGCAGGCGTTCTGTGGCTCGTTGGTTCTCTGTGTCTGCTTTAACAGACTCGCAGGGAAACATTTCACCAGTCCTGCAGCGCTCCTGTGTGTCCTGCCTCCGCTCAGAGGATGCTGCTGGGGAATATTCACGGGATTCTCCCAGGCAGAAGTGAAGTCTGTGCGTTCCCACCGTCCGTGTGCTGTGGCTGAAGCTGTAGCTTTATAAAGAAACGCCTTGGGACGAGGGGGCTGCCTGGGCAGGGCAGAAATGCCGTGTCCCTGCTGTGTCCCATCGCTCTGGATGCTCGCAGCCACCCCGTAATTCCCTCAAAGGGCTGTCCTGTTGCAGGACGTACTTGTTGCATATATATATGTCAATGCTGCTCATCAGGCAGTGCTGAAGTTGATTACGAACAACATTGCGGGGCTGGAGGGTGCTGTGAGATGCCGGAGGTCAGATACCTGCTGCTTTTTTGCTGCCCTTTTGGCCAGCAATGGGCGCAGGCAGCTGCCAGTGCCGGGGGTGTGGATGGGGTGGCCACAACAGGGCTTGGGGTGCAGCATCAGCCCAGCCAGACAGAAGCTCTGCAGGGCTGAAATGCCTCTTTCTCTGTGCTTCGGGTGACAAATCAGGGATATAAATGAGAGCTGGAGACACTGTCTGCGAGCAGCCAACACGTCACAATATTTGGGTAGCGTCTCTGGAAGAAGCACTTTGCAAAAAAGAGAGAGATGAAGCAGTGGCTGCTTCACTGGCAGTGGACCAGCTGCTCCTGTTGTTCTTCCAGCCATAAAAAATAGCCTCGATATTTGGGAAAGACACCCAGCCCTGCTCCAAATCCCTCAGCAGGGTGGCAGAGCTGCTCTCGCTGCCCAGCACTCTGCCAGCAGCAGGAGGGAAATTCGCGGAACGAGGCACAGGCTGGGGGCTGCTCAGCCTCCTCCTGTCAAAAAAAAAACAACCTTGTGGCATACTCACCCTTGGCTTAAGTAGGCAGCAGTGAATTAACCTGGGATTTTTGGTGGTGGTGCAGCTTTTCCTGCTCGGGGTGAGGGAGGAGTTGTCGCGGAGCAGTTGGTCACAGCAGCCTCCTGGAGGACGGGCTGCTGCCGAGCACTGCTCTGTGTTTTCTTTCTGCCCCATTGATCCCCATTAGGAAAGCCCTCGGTGCAGCTCTGCCTGCTGCGAGAAACCCTTCGAAGCACATTAACATAGCAGCAGAGCTGGCACACAAATAAGTGACAAAAGCCAAGAAACGCGGAGTCAGAGGGAGCTGCTGGAGGGTTTTGCTGTCACTGGCAGACGGCGCAGAGGGCTCGGAAACGTAGAGGTGAGGAAGGAGATGACGGCCAAAGTGTTCCTGTGGGCAGAGGATGCTCCACAAAGGTGCTGGTGTGTGGCCTGGGCAAGGTGACCCCAGGGCTCGGAGTCACGCACGGGATCGGCCCCGCAGAGTTTGGGCTCCCAGCTGGGCTGGGGCAGGAGCCTCTTCCGAATTCTCCTCCGAATGAATGAATTTGCAAGCTGTAAAGCCTTAAATGGTGGCTGACAATGAATGGTGCTGGTGGGGATTGTTACTGGGTGATGTCCAGCATCCTGCCCTGATCCCACCCTGCGTCCCGCAGCTGGCTGGAGCAGCTCGCACGTGGCTGTGACCTGGGGACACCAGGATGCAGCCCCCAGGTGCTGAGAGGTTGTGCAGACACTGGGCTTTCCCCACCAGATTTGGGATTCAGAACCTCACAGGTCCAGGCTCCGGATCCATCTCCTGGTTGAGGTGAATTTTGTGCCTTCGCAGCAAGAGGCTGCTCAAAGCAGGGGAAATTCAAACTCCGCCAATGCTGCTCCCTCCCCGCACCTGGCAGCTCGCGCCACGGCGAGGCTTACCAGCTGGCTGAGTTTGAGTTAATTACTTCCTTTTCAGTGTTTGTGTGTTTGTTCCAGTGCTGGTAGGTGTACTGTGTGTAGTACAATTAATCAAGTGTCAGGATGCTTACAGCCCTGTACAGGCATCTGTTATTAACTGCTATTTAAATTGAGATCTCTCTGCTCGGCTCGGCCAAGCCTCCCCAGCCCAGCTCCGTGAGCCTGCAAGAGCCAAGCCTGCATGTGAGTTTTGCAGAGGGAGGGTTTTTTTTTTTCTCCTATTTTAAATGCAGGAAGAGATGCTCCCAGGCTTCAGACAGTAAGGTAAAATAATAAATGAGTTTCCATGAGGGAGAGATATAACAAACCAACGGGCTGGCAGGAGCAGCGGGGCTCAGCGCTCCCGAGCTGCTCTGGCACAGCGGTGGCACGGCTCCCCATGGCCGGGGCTGGATCCTGTGCTGTGCCATGCCGTGCTGTGCCATGCGAGCAGGCTGCCTGACAGCCAGCAAACAGCCCAAACCAAGAGAAATTTCATGCAGATACAGCACAGACAAAAAAATCAAGGCTGGGTCCTTTCCCCCAGGGAACCCCCAGCTGCAGAGGTTGCATGGTGCAGAGCCCTGGAAGGTTACCTTGGCCAGCAATTCTAGAGAAAAACACTTTTGGAGTAGAATATGTGTAAGGAAAAATGCTGGTGAGTGCTCATCCCTGCTCGGGGTGCCCTCTGCAATCCGCGGACCCCCAGGGATTTGTGGGGCCCTCTTGCAAAGACAGCAGCCCCCAGCAATTGCTGCAGCTATTTTCTCGTCATAAGCATCTCTATTAAAGAGAAGGAAAAATCATGGTGATTGCAATGTCCAGTTGTCAAATGTGGTCAGCCTGGAGATCAATCCAATAAAAATGGAAAACAGGGCACTGGGGGTGGGGGGGAGAGAGGCTGGCAGGGGCGAGAGGAAGGTTTTGCTGGGAGTCTGTAATTAAAATGCCACAAGAGGTTTTCAGGACACGCAGCAGCTCTTCCTCTTTTGGCGGGGAGATAAAAGCATCTCAGTAAATGCTGACACTCTGGAAATGTTTCACCGTTCCCAGGACGGTTGGAGAGGCTGTTTGCAGAGCTTGTCCCCGGGGTGCGGTGGGGCCTGCTGGCTGCTTACCTTCGTGCTCAGCGTTTGAGGTGAAGCTGCAGCATCCCCATCACCCCGAGCCTTCGCCTCCTGTGGGAAGTCAACGTGGCTGCTGTGGGGCCTGGGACAGCTCGTCGTTGGGGAAAGAGGGGGACAAGCAAGATTTTGGCAGGCAGAGCAGCTGTGGAGTGGCCTGGCTGAGCCCCAGGGGACAGTTTGCATCGACTTTACAAACCCAGGTTGCTGCAGCGTTTGCAGGTGATGCTTTTCGAGGGTGGCTGCACCCAGGAGATGGTTTTCTGAGAGCTGCATCCAAGGAATGTTCTCAAAATCCGTACAAATTGCTCTTGCAGACAGGATCCCGGGCGCTCGCAGTGGGCTGTTTGGGGTTATTGGGCAAGGTCCGAGCCGGCTGGCAAAATCTGCTCCCTGCGGGGCTGCAGGGGTGGAAGGCACCGGGCTGTGAGGACGCTGCAGGCAGGAAAACCACGACGTTAATACATCCATCTAATGTTCTGTTTGGTTTATCTTATGCCGCGGAGAAGGTCTAAAATTGCAGAATTTGTAGTTGGACCTGGAGATACGCTCAGATTTATGAGCAAAGATAAGTTGTTCTGCCTCAGTCTTTCACCTGCTTTTATCTGAGTCCCAAAAAGTGGCATCAATTGGCTTGAGTATTTCATTTAACATGTAACCAAATACGTAAACACGAACTGTCACTGTCTGGCTACCAGAACGAGAAAAATGAGGTTAAAGAGTCCCAAAGCCTTCTCCATACAAGGCAGGTTTATTGTGATTTAAAAATAACAAATGGATTTCTTCATGTGCTCAAGGTGCTTCATCCATAACGCACCGTGAAGGCAGGTGGGTGGGACACGGGAGAAATACAGCCTGTGAGTAACGATGGGAGTAGGTGCCAAGAAGAAATACATTGCTCAAAACTTGACTAGGCTGAAGAAAGGGTTTTTTATTCAAAATAAAAATAGGATGCAAAGGAGAAGAGAGTGTGCTCGCCCTCTGAAGTAATGGATGCCCAGGGCCCCAGATGACGAGGCAGCGCCTCGATAAGCAGAAACTTTTTGTTCCCCCTGGATTGCTCAGTGAAGGAACAAAACACAGATTTAGATAACCTGTAAGTACTGCATCTGCTCTGCAGATGCTTGCTTAGGTTAATAAAATAGAAAATAAAATGGGATCAAAAATAAGATGGCAAATGCTGGGTGGGAGTACACAGCGCTCCCTCAGCTTCGCATCATTCAGAAATAAAATGGGGTAAGAGGAAATACGCGAACTGCCATGCTTCAAACTGTGTCTTAAAAGTGCTCTTCATCTAGGTGTAAAAACCGCC